GTGCTGCCATAGTCATTTCCCTTCAGTAGCTATGAATAATGGGTTAGCTTCGCTGCTTATGTACTATCCTTTCAGTAAGGCTAGTAGCTAGTTGATTGTGATACTGATAATAATGTATATCTAAATGTGACTATTTACTATTAAATTTATGGCAACAATGTGCTATAAGCACATTTGCATTGCGACTTAACAATAGATAGATCATTAATACTGTTATCTAGGTTTGAAAAGGTTAGGTGAGTGTTGTACACCATTGTATACAATTATATAAGATGGTTCTAACAGTCTGTGCTTCTCCAGATATAAATATATATATATTATTTCTGAGGACAAATTTGTAAATTATCTACTACATATGATTTAGTACTAAATTATTGTAATATATTCTGATTTTCCAAGGAGCTGTTTGAAGTTAAAAGTAGTCGCTATTCTGTACTGAGTCATTGGTCTTTGACCTACAGGAAGCTTTGGGTCTTATCTCCCATGCTGCACACAGGAACCACTCTGAGCATTTGCTGTTGGTTTTGTTTGTTGCTCCTCCCCATTAATATTCCTCTAAGTTGTTTCTTTAAAGAAACAAGTACTTTTATATACATATATATGTATATAACATATGTATATATATAACATATGTATATATATAACATATATATAACATATGTATATATACATATGTATATATACATATGTTATATATATATGTATATATATATATATATATATATATATGTGCTGAGATAATCCACCTTGAAAACATTTTGTTAGTGTTTTTGTTAATGTTTTACAATTTACATTTTCTTTTCAATTTTCTGGAGGATCTAGAGTAAAAAAAACTTTGATGAATTCAATGGTATGGGTTTCCTAATTGTATTGGTACACAGGTTTATTCAGTGGTATGGGTTTCCTAATTGTATTGGTACAAAGGTAAAAATACCTAAAGCAGGCTAGACAGGTATGAGGAAAATGAAATAAACCTCATGGTAAACAAGCTGAAGCTACTACAGAGCTATATTACAAGATTACCCAAACCAAGCATTGAGCAAAATAATCTTTTATTTTTAATAGTAAAGACAAATTACTTCTTTAGATAATCTCTTTTAATTAACTGTTGTGATGTCAATAATTCCACTGAGGTTTTCTAGGAGGAACATTGTCTGTGTTTATCTCCTTACACTATTTATATATTTCCATAAACATTTTATTTTACTAGAAAGCATTTGAAATAGCGAACATTTTCCATTGTAGCTCATTTTGAGAGGGACCGAGCAGAAGTATGATTCTGTATATTCTGTATATAAAGGCATTCAAAACAGTACTTGGCATCCTTGATTCAAGCCTAAATTTAACACTCTCCTCTTTTCCATGAAAATCTTACTAGGCTAAATAGACAGAATTAATTACTTAATATAAAATATGGTAATGGACAGAAGTAACATGGCTACCTAAAATTTCATTCTGATTTGCAAAAATACATCTTTCTCTTTCTCCTAAAATACAGTGTATTCTCTCTATTTTATATTTGTGTTTTACTTCTAAGAACACTCTCAACTGAGGGCAAAGGAAATGAAATGTATTTGTACTTGAGCAAATTTATGTGCTCCCGGATTTCATCAGCTTTGCAAAATGTAAAAGCCACTATTTTAAATAGTATAGAGAATCTCATGTGTGATTTAGGGGTTTGCTTACTTACCAGAATCCATTTATATTTAGGTGCATTTTTATTTTGCCACATGAAGTTTTCTAGCATTCAGTCATCCACACACAAGCTCCAGATTATAACATCATTTTTCTTGCAGTCTAGAAAGAAGATTACATTCAGTCTTCTTTTTTGAATCTTACTTTTTTTCCAAGCAGTTATTAATAACAGTTTGTCACAACATCAAAAAATAGCAAGACTATCACTGTGTACTGAAAGACTTCAAGTTACCTCCATAGTCTTCAGTTGTAGGGCTTTATCTCCTAAAGATAAAGTAAAATGTAACTTGTCAACAGGATGCCAATATTACAATTTTAATTTAGGATACCTTAGTATTAAAAAAGAGCAGTAAAATAGACAAAATAGTCAAATAATATAAAAATAGCTGGCTCTATGTGGGTCACAGAGATGGCTTTACTTGATATTGCATATTATTAATTTTGTTTACTTATATTACAAATGTTTGTTGATTAAGTGGAAGGACTTCTTGACTCTTAGTCCTTGATCCTCTTTCCCTTAGTTTAGAATGTTGGAATTGTAAATTTGTTCTTTGTCCTTTTGAAATGTAAACATGTATAAAATGTTTTTAACCTAGTTGTATAATCCAAAAGTATCTTTATCAGGAGCCTGGGATCATCCTTGTAAAATGTAATTTTCAGCAAAAGATGCTTTGCTTCCTAGTTGCTATAGGAATTTAGGGGCCTAATTTCAATGGGCTCTGGATATAGATTGCAAAATTGTTCCCTAGGAGTTATAGTCATGCCCCAAATGGATAAAAGTTTTTAAATCTTGTAGACTTTTACATGATATTGTATCTTCTGTGTCAATGATAGAACAGATAGTCTACAGCAGGGGAGGCCAAGGATCACCTATTGATTAGTGTTTGGCCTGGTTAAACCTAGCTCAAAATATAACAATGACTAGTTTGTAAAAACTTATTATTTTATTCATGAGTATATATTTAATACAAGAGCAATTTTTCTGTAAAAATCTATATGGTATTTGAAATATTCCATGAGATAAAATAAGTATTATTTAGAATCTTATATAATCATTGAAAATGAGATCATTTAAAATGTGAAGAGTAGCCAGGCACTGGTAGCTCACATCTGTAACCCTACTTAGTCAGGATGCTGAGATCTGAGGATCACAATTTGAAGCCAGTCTTGGCAGAAAAGTATCGGAGACTTTTTTTTGTAATTTTATTTTATTTTATTGTAAAGGTGATATACAAAGGGGTTACACTTACATAAGAAAGATAATGAATACATTTCTTGTCGAACATTGTTACTCCCTCCCTTGTTTTCTCCTACTTTCCCTCTTCCTAACTACTCTCCCCTCTCCAACTTGTATAGTTCATTTCCAACATATTGTCTTGTGAGTATCGCTGTTGCATTGGTTCACCCTTTATCCTTTGTCTCACTATTTTCTTATTCTCCTTCCTTTCCTCAAATCAGACAAATGTATATACAAGACAGAGGGCACCAAAATCAAAGACAGTGACAACAAGAGATAAACCATAGGGGAAAAAAAGGAATAATACAAAGAAAAAGAAATAACAGCACGTAGTACGGTAAAAGTAACAACAACAAAGGAGAACCTCATTTCCATATTTTGGAGTTCATTTTGCTTAGCCTCATCTTATATGGTCATATGTATATAGCTATTGAACTATTTTGATCCTCTGCTAGGACTATCTTAGACATATGCTAATTATTACAAGTGAGGGAAACAATTGAACCCGTGTTTCTTTGGGTTTGGCTTACTTCACTTTATATGCTTTTTTTTCAAGCCTTTCCATTTCCTTATAAATGGGGCAATGTTACTCTTTCTGATGGAACTATAGAATTCCATTTATCTATCAGAAAACTGGAAGTGGCACTATGGATCAAAATGGTAGCCTGCTAGTCTTAAGTAGAAAAGGCTCAAGGACAGCACCCAAGCCCTGAGTTCAAACCTCAGGACTGGGACCAAAACAAAAAACATAAAACAAAAACAAAAACAGTGAAAAGCAAGCTATATAACTGTAACCCTAACACTAGAGCAACTCAGGAAGCAAGATTATGAATGTAAGATTAGCCTGGGCTAATAGGGAGACCTTACCTTAAACAGAACAAAACAAAACAAAGCAAAAGATATTAAAAGACACTTTGACCCAACTTGCTATATAAAAGAGTCAAGATCCAAATTTAGCCTGCAGGACATAGATTGCAAGTCCATGTTGTTTTACACTGTAAATGAGAATATTAGATTCATGGCTATAATGAGATTGGCTAAAATGATTTTAGTCTTAATCCTTGAACTGTATATTATGCAACCTCAAATTATTCTCTCTATATTTGCATATATGTATGTATATATATACATTTTATGAGTGCACAAAACACATATATATACAAAGTTTGAATACAGTAATTTTTAAAACAATGCTCAACTTTTATTCCCTTCAGAATTATAATTTTGTAGGCATATGTAGTTGGTAAAAGGCTAGCAGACTAAACAAATCACTTAATTGCAATTGTGCTGCAGCTGCATGTGAGTAGATGGAAATGAGATGAATTATATTCATTTCTTACCAGGAAAGAGAAGAAAATGATAATCCAATTTGTGATTGGTGAGGAAAAGATGGCCACATTTGCACTTTTCATATGACTGCTTTATTTATGAGAGAAATGTCTTTCAGAAGAGTTACTTAGAAGTTATATATTCATCTGTTTCCAACAGTGAGGAACCTAGACTTGCTTAATTTTCTTCAGCCAATCGGGCTTGGTCATAGGGGTCTTGGAAGTAGAGATACAGGAAACTGTCTTTATAGCTGTGAACTAGGACTGTAGGAGTCCTGGAACTTTGTTCTTTGTGTTAAGTGTAGGTCACTAAGTCTTGTAGTCTACCAGTAGTTTTTGTGCCCTATGCAGATATGGGTTGCACTTCATTTTGCATTCTTCCTACTTGCTTCCCTCTTTCCAGCCTGTTCCTAATCTGCCTTCTTTGCTTTCTGAAGGATCTTGTGAGTATCATTCCTTTTAGATTTTGCTTACTTTCATCTTACAAATAGGGCATTGGGTGCTTGTTTTGTTTTTGTTTTAATTGCCAATCTGATAGTTCATAAACTGATTTCTTTATACCTCCTTAACAGTTGGTAAAGAATTGGGGTCTGGTTTGAATAGTGTTTGATCTATTTTCTCTTTCACACCATGTATTGGATTATAGGTTGACTCCAGACTGATCCCTCTTATATCCCTCTCTTCCCCACTTTTCTGCCTTCCTCTCCTCTCGCAAGCTCATAGCACATCAGAGGCAATGTGTCCAGATGGATAATGTATCCATCTCCTAAGGAAGTGTGAGGTAGTACATTTCACATAACCACATGAAAACCAGTTATCATGTTTATGAATCATGAATGATCAACTTTCCCATTTGGAAAGTAGTTAGAATTATTGTTTAATACCTAAAATACACATCTGCAGAAAAGGCTAGTTACTAAACTAAAATCAGATAATGTGATTTGTATATTATCCCTACCTAAGGGAAATTGAGGTCTGAACCTTGTAAGTTTGATAAGCCAGCACTGAGTTCCTTAAATTTCTTGTGTTCCTTTTAGCACTGTGTGGTTGTTGCACATCTGTCTTTTGGGGAAAAAAGGAAACATAATGACTTGTTATAAAGAATTTTAGACTGAATTCTCTTTTTCATCTCATGTACTCACATTCATATATGGCTGTTCTCGTCTCTAGCATTTTCTCTCTTGAGAGAAGAAATTAATTTCATTAGAGTAGGTAGATTCTAGTCCAATATAACTGGTGCTCTTCTATGGAAAAGGAACAATTGGGGACAGAGAGACATGTATTGGAGGAAAACAGTGGGAAGGGAAATAGGGAGAAAGGACCAAGGAGCTAATCGTGGAACAAATCTTTCCCACAGTCCTTCAAGGGAACCAGTGCTGTAAACACCCTTATTGTGGCTTTCTCATTTCTATTTCTGTGGTCATAAGCTTATTTTGAGTCACCCAGTTTGTTATACGTTGTTACAGCAGTCCTAACAAATACACAGTCTCTCTGACTCTAAAAAAACTTGATAACCTACTGATTTTTTAAAAAAAATTTGATTCAGGGGAGAACTCAAACAATGTAATTTTAGAAGGGTGAACTCACAGTCCAACAAGAAATGGGTATACAAAAGGTGAGGGTACATTCAAGGGTTAAGGGCCAGACAAATGAAGAGAGGAAGGGGGGAGAATGAACTCATAAAATTCAATGCATATCCTACAAACTTGAGGGAAAGGGTTGGGTTGGAAGAGATGGAGTAAAATGATGGAAGAGTGATATTGATCAAATGCATTGTATTTATAAACACTACTTTGTTGAATGGCAGCTCTTTTGTAGAACTTTAGAGATAATTTTAAAGAAGTTGAAACTAAAATGTATCTTTGTATTTTCCCTTTTGGAATTAGAACTATAACCCATTTCTCTTTTTTTTTGGGGGGGGGGGTCCGGTCGTGGGGCCTGAACTCTGGGCCTGGGCACTGTCCCTCAGCTCTTCAGCTCAAGGCCAGCGCTCTACCACTTGAGCCACAGCGCCACTTCCGGCTTTTTCCTTTTTGCTTATGTGGTGCTGAGGAATCGAATCCAGGGCTTCATGCATACAAGGCAAGCGCTCTACCACTGAGCCACCTTCCCAGCCCTATAACCCATTTCTTTAAACAAGCTTATAATGTTAAAGGCAAATGTCTAACACAATTGTCACTGCAGGCATTTAAAGTTATAATTTGAGGTTATATGTCTGTATTTGGGATTTGGTTCAATTACGTTGTTCAATTACACCATTTTACCTGCATATTAAAAGGCAGGATCAGTAGGAAAAGTCAATGATTGCTAATCATCAATAAGGAGGGATTTCTTTTCTTTTAGTGGAGAAATTGTCTACAAGTTTCATTATGTACTTCAGTCAGGTCTGGCATCAGGACAAGTAAATGCCCCTCGTAAAACAAAACCTGACTATATGTTCAGTTCATACCAATTGGGGTATCATAAAATACATACAATGAAACTCACTGTTGAGTGCTGAGATAGAGGGAATAATACACAATTTTCTCTACTTACTACTACACAAAGCCATAAAGAAAATATAACTCTGGGGATATAAACATATATATTATGGTTCCAATTAGATAGATTGGAAAAACTGTGGTTTATAAAGGGTAATGCCTTTCTTTGTCTCAGAGTTTCTGTAATAAGTCACCTTATTTTGATATTCCTCAAAGAATTAGTGCTTTCAGTGGATATAATCCCCTGTGACAAATGTATAGCTTCTATTCCAGTGTCATCTAAGCACTCCCCATAAATACACAACCACAAATCGTAAACCGTATACTAAGAAGTACATATCTAGGACAAACATACCAAGAAACAAGGAGCAAATCATGTTGCATATAGTATGATTCATGTTGAGTGGTATGACTCCATTGTGATTAACATACCTGTAAAGGGTGGTTTTCATGTAAAAAAAGCCAGCAACAGCAACATCAACAACAATTTAGATTGTAGAGATCCATTTTTGACCTTACCTATACCTATTGCAGTCAGAGTAGTGAAATCATATTTAAAGACTAGAGGTGAGGACTTCTGACAGATGTGGTGTGGTGTATTGTCCAATACGTAAGAATTGGTTTGATTTTTGTAAAACTTCTGTCATGTACAATGCTATGGTACTTTGCTTCTGCAACTGATAAAATAGCACAAGATATATGACTTCTATTACATAATAGCTTCCATCACTATTACCTATTACCCTTAACAACCAGAGTTTAGAAAATTCAAACCTCTTGCACAATGAGGCCACTTAATAAAGGTATAGGAAACAAAAAATCACCTACTACATTTAAAACAACAACAACAAAGACATACTTCTTATGTCCATATCTTAGGGTTGATTTCACTTAGCATCAACTTATATGATCATATGTAACAATGATTGACAAGTAATGTGCTCATTGCCTCACTCATGTAACTAACCTCTCTGTACAGCATCTTTACAATAAAATAAAAAAATAAAGGCACAAGAAATGTGATAGGTCTTGAGTGATAATATTAAACAGCAATTATCATCATCAAGGTTATTGAATGCTGACTACTTTCTAAGTGTCAAATAGGTTGTCTAATACTTTTCTATTTTTAAGTAAGCAAGCCAGAAAACAAACAAGAATACACAGGAGCCAATACTAAAAACTGTTAAAAAGTTTATATATTTTCCAGGTGTGTGTGTGTGTGTGTGTGTGTATATGTGTGCTTGCATCTATGTGTGTGAATATGTATGTGTGTGTGTGTAATCAGAGAGAGATGGATTTTATGTATTTATCCAATAAAATCTAACCCATTAAAATTTAACCCATTAGATCTTACTTAATATTTCAAATCACAATATTATATGATAATTTCCATCTACTATTTTAAGTAGTACCATTTAAGTAGCATAAGTGCTTTCCTCTTACAACTTCTTAGTGATATTCAGGAAACTGTTCTGCCATAATTATCCCAGTGACATCTCTAGTAAACTGTGCTTTTATTCTTCTCATGTTAAGTATTTTCCGGCTTTTGTTTGGCTATATTTTTAACGGCAAATTTAATGCATTATTCCTTGACAGAAACAAAATCTGGATATGCAGAGTCATGGATTCATCCGGCCTGTTGTGTTCAATGAGGGAGTGGCATATTGGTGGGACCACATGAATTCACACTCAGTAATTAGCTGTGGAAATGACTATGACCATTCTCTTTTTTGTATTTGGAAATTTACACAGCATTGTTGAGTAAATATTGATACTGTATTTGTGCATTTATTAAAGTCCAAAAGCTTCTCATTATAATTCTTAGAGCATGGAGTAGTAGAAGGAAAGGATTAAATGGAGATACATTGCAGCATAAATGCATTTATGGATTGGATAAAATCTCTTCAAGTGGAATTAGATAAACAAAGGAGTCTCCATATGCTTATACTTGCTGTCAAAAGGATCTGACTATTTGGAGCTCAAAGAACCAGTCCCTGGTTTAAATATGATTAGGAACAGCTTCAGAGGATGATTTATTAATCAACAATTTATTTCATAGCACCACTTATAAATTATGCCTTTTTAAGAGATTGTCTTTTAGATGCGGTAATGGTGACAAAGGTCCATCCCTGTTTTAAACTACCTGTTCCATTCTCTTTGTTCTTTTTTAATATGCCATTTTTTATTGTAAAAATACTGTTCAGAGGTGTTAGAGCTACATGAGTGAGTTAATAAGTAGATATCCTATCGAGCATTGTTGCCACCTCCTTTGTTTTTCCCCTACCCTCCCTCCCTTCCCCACTTCCCAACTACCACCCCCCCCCCCCCGAAGTTGTAAAGTTCATTTTCAACAGTGTTTTGTAGATCTCATTGTTACAATTAGGTCAACCTGTATCCCTATTTAAGCATTTTGTTATTTCCCTTCCCCACCCAAATTAGAAAAGTGTATATATAAGAAATGTACGCCATTATCCTGCCCATGTAATTGTAACCCCTCTGTACAGTATGCTCACAAATAAAATAAAATAAAATTTAAAAAAAGATGCAGAACCCCAGAATGAAATACAGTGAAAACAGAGGTTATGCCATGGGGGAGGAACATACCAAAGAAACAAAAAACATCACATAGTACATTATAAATACATTAGAAGCAATAACAAGAAAGAAAAGAAAACATTTGTGCCCCTATCTTGGGGTTCATTTTGCTTATCATCATCATATTGTTCTTTGAATCTAAAACCACAATATTAAAAGTTACTTCTCAAAGTGTCTTTGCCCATAAGCATCCTATTTTCCTTTCCATTTGTTAATATTTTGTAAGTACTCCACTAATTCTGAAAGCTACTTAGAATAAAATGCATGTGTATTGTTTCTATTAAAGGAATAAATACAAAATATAAAAGTATGGTTAAATTAATGGTGCCTTTTTTAGAAATGTCATTTACTACATAAAATATCACAATGAGGAGAATTATATAGTTAGAACAATATTTTATGTATTTTTATTAAGTAGTAAAAATTTCAATTTTATAATTCAGGTTATGTATACAGTGCATCTTTTTTCCATATATTTTTATTGTAATACTGTACACAGGGGTTACAGGTACATGAGTAGGGTAATGAGTACATTTCCTAAATGTCACCCATTCTACCATTCCCCCATTTCCTCTCATCCCATCCCTCCCCTCAACTTATGTAGTTTGGTTTTTACATAATGTACATAGATTGTAAATTATTGAATTACTCACATTTCTTCCTAAACATGTTTTCTCTTCCTGGGAACAATGTATCGTAAACCTCATGTTACCTTCAACATGAATGGGATTACAGAAGTTCTTTTTTATAAATACTTCCCACAAAG